ATAAATACAATGGGACTAAAATACTCTAACTAAAAAGTATACTTTTAAAATATAACTTTGATCATATAAAAGTATAAGTACCTACATACATACTAGATCTGTGTCATAACAAGAACCATATAAAAGTATTAAGATAAGTTGAACACTACGACTAAGCGTAGATAGTTATGTAATCATATCTAGGATAAATATAGCCTGATCAACTATATTTATGCAATATGTGACTAACATGTGTTTAGGAATAGTCGTAGTGAACAACGAGTCTAAAACTTACCAACAAAGAAACTCTAGAATCAAACATGAAGTTTAAAATACTATAGGAGTATTTTATGATACTATAGAACCGTACACCTAGACTTCTTATGTGTCTCTTATACCTATATCCTTACACAGTCGACATGGCAGGTTCTCATTTTCCAGGAGACCCTTACTTTCCCAACCAGGTAAAAGACGGTTGGATTGAGGAAGACCCCGAAGAGGATCCTGAGGAGGATCCAAAAGAGATGAGATTGAAGAAGACCCCGAATAGGATCCCGATAAGGACCTAGAGGAGGAGGACGACAAGGAGAACTCTAACGCAGAGTCCGAGGTCTATGATCCAACCCATGTCGTCCGCGATCCGGCACCTGGACCAGGCTTCCAAGTCCCACCACCACATTGGGCAGGGGATTTACAGAGGTAGATCCATCAACAGGTCCAACGCTCTCCTTATGGCATGAAGCGAGGCTTCCACAACCTCAACCACGGAGGTCCAACAGACAGGGATCTCCCTGTCATGATCTATCAGATCACATGCCTTGGCGAGCGGGCGAGGGCATCCTCTAGACAGATCCTAGATATAGGTGCCACCGCCGAGGTTACTGCCACCTGGTTATGATGATTAGACGAGGAGCACGACCAGGCCCACGAGATTATTGATGGTTTCCAGGAGGATATCACGACCGCATGAGCGGAGACCAGGGAGTACAAAGAGAGGCACGTTGCCCTTGAATAGAGGGTGATCGATGTTGAGCGCCGAGTGGAGGAGATACAGTCTTTCATGACTACATTCAGTGGACCACAGGAGACCGCACACCTCTAGTAGAGCTTATACTACTCACCTTTTGTTATAGATTACGTTTTATGAGTAAGCGTTGGTGCTACTCCTTCTTGTACGTAGGTTTGACCCTATAAATAAGTGATTACACTATTCAAGAGGTCGTTATGCTGTCAATTTTTTTTTGTAGACCTTCTTAAAATTTAATCTACTCCAAAACCTTGCACTAATATATGTTATCAATGAAATTGGCATGCATTTTATTTCATTGGGTATTGCTATTAAATTCGTAAATTATTATACAATTATTTACCTATAATCGTAAATTTCTATTTGTGAATTGCTTACGAGTTACAATAAAGGCGTATATAATACCCACATAACTGAGACATTCTATTTCGATAATACCCGATTCATGACCATTATCGAGGACTTACCATCATTACACATTTAAAACTTTATGGTAGAAGGATGCCACCATGAAGAATCAATAGATGTGTAACCAACACATCAACAACCCCACCGCCACCACCTCCATAGATGGACTCCTCCGTTTTCCAAGCCACTATGACAACCACAGTGAAGGACGCCATGGCACAAATCAGCAGTAACGACAAGAATGGCATCGGTAATGGGGGCGGGAAGGGGACCAAAAGCTCCAATCTTGGTGAAAGAAAAGGTCACCAGCAAATGTGCTCCTACAAATAATTCATGAAATGCAAGCCCAAAACCTATCATGGCGACGGCGGTGTCGTCCCTTTGACAAGATGGTTTGAGAAAACCGAGTCTGTATTCGAAATTTGTTCATGCACAGACGAATACAAGGTCAAATACATGGCTTGTACCTTCGTGGACTTAGCCTTATCATGGTAGAATGGCCATGTTAAAACTCTTACCCTCTCTGTGGCCAACTCCATGAGTTGGGAGGACCTGAAACTCATGATGTTGGGGGAATACTACCCAAGAAGCGAAATGTAGAAGCTGGAACAAGAGTTGTGGAACCACACCATGACGGGATCTGATATTGCCACTTACACCACCAGGTTTAACTACTTGGCAACTTTTTTCCCCGGGATGGTCACCCCAAAAGTCAAGAAATTAGAACGCTACATCTGGGGACGATCCCCTCAGATTCAAGGAATGGTCATATCCGTTGATATGTGCATATTTAGTTTGTATTAAGTATAGAGTTTTTTATTCATTTATTAGCTAAATTATTGCATTTCATGGACAAAAGGTACTTAAAAGTGTTTGAATTGTATTTTCAGTCCAAAAATGAAGCTCATAAGTAAAAGGAAGCAGGAGAAGCGGTTAGGAGCTCCGGAATTGAACAAAGAAGAAAAACACCAAAAATAACACCTACTCAGCGAGTACGGTCGACTACTCGGTGAGTCCAAGTGAAGATTCGAGAAGATAACGACTAGGGAACCCAGATACTTATCGCATACGGAGATTGTGAGATGGAATCGACGAGTCGACACCTGACTCGACGATTCGATGCGTGAATATAAAGATAACTTCTCAGATCAATGAAAAAAACTTCTATGACGATTCTGGAAAAATTAGCTGCGATTCAGAGGCTAGAGAAACCCTAGAAGATGAAGATAGAAGCTACAATTCAATCCCGAAGGAGATTTGAGGCAAATTTCATCATTCTACTTAATCTTTTGTTTTCCATTATGGTCAGACAATTAGAATTCGTTTTTATGCTGTTATTTACTTCAATCATGAGCTAAAACTCTTAACTTATGTTTGGGGATACAAACTTGAGACTATGGTTTGATTATTGGTAGGATTAACTCAATGTTGGTGATTTTTGTTATTTTAGCTTGCTAAAGAACCTTATGTGTGAATGATAACTAATTTTCTGTTAATAGGAAGGTAATTAAATAGCATCAACATCGTTTGATTATCAACCTCATATACCATGTGACTACTTTGTTATATGTCTAGGATTAATGAACATGAAACTAGAATTAATAAGAAAATTAAGTAAATCCACGTGCAAGCTTGTGTGATGACCATCAAAAAGAAGTTAATTAAAAGCCAAATTGGTTAACTATTGTATGTCTAAAGTAATCCGAATAATTAATCTAGTGAACCAAATTGAATTAGACAACTGATTACTATTTAAGTTAGTTTATTTACTAAGGATTAGTGTAGTGAATGCGAACCTAGTCACTTGAATCGGTAAACAAAAGAGTTAATCCATTGCACTATTACCTTGAAATCAACCATAGGATCAATTGAGTTGAACTAAACAGAAGTTCCTTCGTATTATTGAATCTAAGTAATTCTTTGTTATTCTAGTTTTTAGATTGAGTAATAGTTAGTAAGTGTCTAGTCTTGTAAAAACTAGAGAAAACCCTCTACTTATTAATCAATGTAGATAGAATTAGTTTTTTGTTTTAATTTCTCCTTCCCTGTGTTTGATACCCTACTTATTTGACTATACCACAATTGATAGGTTCACTGCCTTTGTGTGTTTATTTTAGGGTTAATACCATAAAAGCCATAAGTTTTACACCATAATTCTAAATTAGCCCTAAATGGATTTTTTTGTGTCTAATTAGCCATTATGTATGTGTTGACTTTTGCCTCAAACCCTGTTAGCCGGTTTCCCCGGTTTCAGCCGGTTACCCCTTTACAAATAAGGGTTTTACCGTTAGAAACCCATCTTCCATCTCCTACTTCTACATTCTCCGACTTCTTCTTCCACGCATCTAACTTCTTCATGGCTAGTTCATCTACAGGGTCTACAGGGTCAATGAATTCAGGATTTCAAAATGTTAATGTCAATTTCAGGAACAGAAACAACCCCATAGTTTTGTGTCATTGTGGTGTTGAGGCTAGCTTCTCAATTTCATGGACGGACAAGAATCCTGGAAGAAAATTTAGGGGATGCACCAACTCCAAGGTATGTTCTTCACTCTTTGATCCAGTATAGAGTTTTCTTATGGGACTAAGGGCAAATTTGTCGTAAAAATGTGTAGTATAAAGTTTTCGAATGGGACTAAGGGAAAATCTATCATAAAAATGTGCACATTTGTTCTTCACTCTTTAATCAAGTATAGAGTTTTGTTATGGGACTAAGGGCAAATTTGTCATAAAAATGTGTAGTATAAAGTTTTGTTATGGGACTAAGGGCAAATCTATCATAAAAATGTGCAGGATCCTTCCAGGTATTGTAAGTTCTTCATGTGGTTGGACCCACCTTTGCCTAGTGAAGATTACAAAAACCTCATGTACCAAATGCATTTAGCTCTGGTTGGGATGGTTGACGGCAATGCTCAGTTGGAACAGGTGAATGCGGATCAAAATAGGAGGTTGATGTTGATGATGAAGCTTATGTTTATCATGGTCATGCTATTTGCAGTGATGTTGATAACAGGGACTGTATTGCTGGTGAGACTATAGGAAGTTAGGAAGTTAAGTTTAGTCTTTTTATGAAGTTGTTGGTTAGGTGAAATTGTATTAGATGCTTATTTTGGCACAGTTGTAATAGCATCTGAAAACATTTTGATGGTTGTAATATGGATACCCTTGTAATACATAGTCCTACGGGACAATTAATATGAAAAGCATTAACCAAAAATTGACAATTTACTATCCATTACAAACTGACATAGAAATTTGAACTTACTACAAACCACAATCTTTATAAACATAATAGCCAAATACATACATGGAGGGTAACAATCAGAACCAAACTTCCAATTTTACAATAATGTTTACAAGCCAAAAGACGATTTCCCAAAATGACAATGTTACTACAATTTACAGTAAAAAGATAACATGTTGTCAACAAATTGGAAGCTTGTTACCAAAAGATGCTTTCACAAAAAAGGGCTATCAAAAGATTTATGCCCAATTAACCCCCCGTCCATAACAACATCAGTCCAATGTAAGTGCTTTCTCAATTGTTGAACCACCTCCATCTGGATCATGCACTGCTTTTTTCAACTTAATCTTGATAATTCTTTCTGAGGGCTTCCTTTTTTTTTTTTACCAACGGATCTTGTGTTTCTTGACTGGTCTCTTCATCAACTATACTCTCAGCCAACATCTCCTTCCTCTCTTTTGTCAACTGTGAATAAGAAATTAACATAAACATATTATCATATAATGTTCAAGAAAATTGTGTTAATAATTAAATTTATAACTACACACCTTATTAAAAGCTTCAACAATTTCCCCATGATCATATCTAGATGCCTGCAGATCTTTAATAGTTTCAAAATCTTCATGGTCAACACCTGCCACATTTTGACTTATACTACCATGCACAACCCCTATTCTCCCTACATATTTGATCTTACCTCCCCTCCTTGCCATCATCTTCATTCTCTTCAAAGGAGAAATTGACTGATCAACATCTATCATCTTACCTGCTTCTTTTGATGTGCCCTCAATAGCTTTCATCTTTCCCTCACTTGCTTCTTTTGATGTGTGATCAACAACTTTATTATGTCCCTTATTTACTTCTTTTGATGTGTCCTCAACAACTTTCTTCTTTCCCTTATCTACTTTCCTTGGTGTCTTTGCAATGTTCACAGCTAAATTCCCTCCTCCATCTCCCTTTAGTCTACCATTTTTCCTTTAAGGGACAGGGTCACTTGGACCTTCTCCATTCTTACAAGACAGCTTATTATGACCAAGTTCCCTACATTTCCCACACCTAACAGTCCTGCTAACCTTTACCTTTTGAGTAGGGAACTTAGAATCCTGACATTCTGAGGCATGTCTTCTTCTCTTTGTTTTTGTCCTTCCAGGCATTCTCCTAACAAGGGGTGGTAAGGGCTTCAAATATTCAGTACAGGGCCACATATTACTTCCATTAACAGGTAAGATGTTGTCCCTGAATGTCTCTATGAACTTGTCCTTGTGGAACCAAAAGGAAACAAAATCAGTTGGATCTCTATGTGTGAAATTGATTGCAGCTTGAGCATGAACACATGGTAACCCTGATATCTCCCATAATCTGCATGAACAAGAATGAGCATCTAAATCCACCTTGTAAGCTGAATATCCATGCCTTGTCTCAAATAATGCACCTCCACTTGGTATTACTATCCAGAACCTAAAATTATAAGTAATTAGTAATGTAAATGTATAGACTTAAGATCACAATTAAAATCAAATAAGCATACCTCATATGCTTTCCAAACTCCTTAATTTTCTTTAAGGTGTTTGGGCCATAGTCACCTTTCCATTGAGAAACTATAGCAGCTTGATGATAAAACCTATTCATCAAATAAATCCTGATTTCTTCAAGCATTGTTAGAGTTTGTTTTTTTCTCATGTGAATGATCATCGAGTTAAAACACTCTGATATGTCATTCTCTATAGCCTCACAAGCATATCCATGAGAGAAAAATGCCCTACACCAACAATGTGGTTTGTTTGACATCGGCCATTCATAGCCACTGGGAGTTATGTCCTTGATTTTCTTCATTGTTGCTATAAAGTCCCCCTCCACAGTACTGTTGGCAGCTTCCCAAAACAGGTTCTTGAGCTCTAACCCAGTGTATTTCTTCCTGAAGTTTGCATAGATGTGCCTGGCACATTGTCTATGTTCAACATATGGAAGTAGTTCTGTAACAACTTGTAGTAGACCCTGGCATTGAATAAACAAAATTATTATCAATGTATAATAATTAAACAAATTTATAGTATAATTTACCTTGTATTGATCGGAAATAACCACATGACCCCTACCACAGTCAAGGTCAAGATCAGCAACTAACAGCTCAATAAACCAAGTCCAATTATCTTTTTTCTCTACATTGATCACTACCCATGCTATTGGATATACATGATTGTCTGCATCTCTTCCAATAGCAGTCAAAAAACTCCCTTGATATGACCCTTTAGGAAACAACAATCCAAACCTATCACACATCTACAACCCCTATTCCAACCATCCTTAAAAGCCTTTAAGCACACATAAAACCTTTTGAAATAGTTCATGCCACTTGCATTAGAATCTACTCCCACCTTACAAGTGCTCCCTGGGTTAGACCTGAGGATTTCTGCAGCATAGTCCCATACCTTTGCATAATGTTCTTCTAACTTACCTTCTATCATCTCTCTTGCCTTTGTCCTAACCCTGTGACATTGCCCCTTGGATACATTTTGAAACAACCCAAAAATACGACCCAAAAATTTTCGTTTTTAATACCATCAAAACTATAATCAGAGTATCATATAAATAAACCATGCGTGATATGCCTCAAAATATAATAAAGTACTGTGCGGAAACTGTAACATACTATATCCAAAAACAACAACTAAATCAAATCCAGACTAAAGCTGAAACGGTGGTGTGTGCGATGCCGTCATCCAGAGCTCTTCCCTTTGCTTGCGGAAGTACCTGAAACCAAAACTGAAACTGTAAGCACGAAGCTTAGTGAGCTCCCCCAACTTACCACATACCATACAACAACATATAAACACATATTGGGCCTTGCCCACTGCATCGGGCCGGGCCCGGAAACTGCATCGGACCGAAGTCCGGAACTGACTGGGACCTTGTCCCCTGCATCGGACCGAAGTCCGGAACTAACTGCATCGGACCGAAGTCCGGAACTGACTGCATCGGACCGAAGTCCGGAACTACTGCATCGGACCGAGGTCCGGAACTGACTGGGACCGTGTCCCCTGCATCGGACCGAGTCCGGAACTGACTGAGCATAGCATAGCATATCATAACAAATACTGCATACTGCATCGGGCCATGCCCGGAACATAAACACATACACATAGCACATGAAATGTCTGAACCACGAAGGCATCAAACATACTAACTACTACATCGGACCGAAGTCCGGAAACTACTGCTAACTGGACGGGCCGGCATTGTGGCCTTAGACCCGCCCTACGGAAGGAAACTCACCTCGTAAGCTAGCGGATGAGTGTGTGGCTCGGAAAGCTAACGGCTGCTGCTCCTGAATCTCCTCGGCTACAAATCCATAAACACACTCAATCAATCACTAGCACTACACTCAGGGTAAAATGACTCTTTTACCCTTGGTCAAAGTTGACTTACTCAGGGCTGACTCGCCGAGTCGGGATACCGACTCGCCGAGTCCTAGACTCTCCGCTCAACTCTTACATGCTGTTACTCGTCGAGTGTGGCATCGACTCGACGAGTACCCTCTGGATCCAAGAACTCAGATGATCTTCATCCGACTCGCCGAGTCAGATGAACAGACTCGACGAGTTGTTCTTGATCCTCAAGAAGATTGCCTTGGACTCGCCGAGTTGTATGAACAAACTCGCCGAGTCCCTCCATCACTGAGTCTACTCTTAACTCGCTGAGTCCACTCCCTAACTCACCTCGTCCACTCGACACTGAAGAAACTGAAGAACTCGGGACTCGCGACCTGACTCGTCGAGTCGTTCTTCCGACTCGCCGAGTCGCCGCCATGCAACATATTTTTACTCGATTTCTCTTGAATCCAACACATGCAAATGATAGATCTAGGTCCATTAAGCTGTTTTACCACGTAAAGTTTCCAACTTTACGTGCACAACCACATGAATGAGGGAAATAAGACTAAAATATGCACAATAAGGGTAGATCCATGGCTAATAAGCAATGTAACTCCAAAAAGACAGTGGATCTGGACTCTACAACACCCAACACTCAGATCCAAAGGTATTTCGGCTTAATAACACATTCAAGCAAGCATAAAGCTTGGAACAAGCATCAAATAGCCCTTAAAAGAGCTCTAATGGAAGTTTAAGCATGAAACCAGAAGAGAACTCCGAAAATACCTCAATAAGTTCACACTTGATCTTGGATCTTGGCACTAGAACTCGTTTCCTTGCTTCCTTCTTCTTCTCCTTCTTCACCCCTTCACAAAATGGAACAAGATCACTTATAAGCTCACAAGAGGAAGGTTTAGGGTTTCTCACAGTGCTCTCAGGGGGAAAGTGACGAGATGGAGGCTATAATGGGGTTTAAATAGTGAGCAAACCCGGGGAGTTAGGGTTTCACCCAGACGGACGGACTCGCCGAGTCCAGGATATGGACTCGCCGAGTCGCCGGCTCCCGCGTGCACAAGATGCGCGACCCGACTCGGCGAGTCAGGCTAGAACTCGCCGAGTCCCTCTTGAAAACTTAGCCCAAATCAAATTAATTAACATACCGGAAACGGGTCGTTACAATTCTCCCCCACTTGTTTCAGACTTCGTCCTCGAAGTCTGCTACGGCTGGATCTGCGAATAACTCCGGGTAGTGCGTTCTCATTTCTTCTTCAGCCTCCCATGTCCATTCAGACCCCTTCCGATGCTGCCACTGCACCTTTACCAGCTGAATTACCTTGTTCCTCAAGGTCTTGGTCTTCCGTTCCAAAATTGCTATCGGCTTCTCGATATAATTCAAGCCGCTATCGACCTGGATATCCTCCAAGGGAACGACCGCTGTCTCGTCCACTAAACACTTCCTCAACTGCGACACGTGGAAGGTGTTGTGTATCAAACTGAGCTCCTCAGGAAGATCTAACCGGTAAGCAACCCGACCCACCCGGGCCAAAACCCTGAAAGGACCAATAAATCTGGGGCCCAATTTGCCCCTCTTCCGGAACCTGATGACACCTTTCCAAGGTGAGACTTTCAGAAGAACCATGTCTCCTACCTGGAACTCCAAGTCTGAACGCCTCTTGTCGGCGTAGCTCTTCTGCCGACTCTGCGCAGTCTGCAGTCTACTACGGACCTGCTGGATCAGTTCCGTCGTCTTGAGCACCACTTCGTGCTCCCCATAACCCGCTGACCGACCTCGCCCCAACAAATCGGGGTCCTGCACTTCCTGCCATATAACATCTCAAAAGGAGGTCGATCAATGCTCGCATGATAGCTGTTGTTATACGAGAATTCCGCTAAGGGAAGATACGTATCCCAACAGCCCCCAAAATCCAGAACGCATGCCCTAAGCATGTCCTCGAGAGTCTGAATCGTCCTCTCGCTCTGCCCGTCAGTCTGAGGATGAAAAGCGGTGCTGAAATGGAGACGAGTACCCATCTCGTCGTGAAACCGCTTCCAGAATCTGGACGTGAAGCGAACATCTCGGTCCGACACTACCGATACCGGCACTCCATGACGTGCCACAATCTCTCGCACATAGATATCGGCTAACCTTTCCGCCGATATACTCTCCTGGATCGGAATAAAATGGGCACTCTTCGTCAACCGATCCACCACTACCCATATCGAATCTACTCCACGTGCGGTCCTGGGAAGTTTGGTGATAAAATCCATGGTGATGTCCTCCCATTTCCACACGGGAATATCCAACGGCTGCATCTTGCCGTGAGGTCTCTGGTGCTCCGCCTTGACCTTCCGGCAGGTCAAGCACCTCTCAACGTACCAAGCGACGTCCCGCTTCATGCAGGGCCACCAATAATCAGGTCGAAGATCTCGTCCATCAATACCTGCCGTACCCCACCCCAGTACGGTACCCACACCCTACCATGAAGCGTCATCAAACCCCGACTGTCGTAGTCGAACGAAGCTACTCGACCCACTATCCTCTCGCACTTCTGCCTCTCCTCCTTGAGACCCTCCATCTGGGCCTCCTTGATCCGCTCCAACAAAGGAGTGATTACCGTCATCCTCATACACAAATCCCTGATAGGGGCCGCCGACACCTTACGGCTCAGGGCATCGGCCACCACGTTGGCCTTCCCTGGATGATACAGGATCTCACAGTCATAGTCCTTCAGCACGTCCAACCATCTCCTCTGTCTCATATTCAAACTCGGCTGATCCATAAGGTATCGTAAACTCTTGTGGTCCGTGTAGATAGTACAGCGGACCCCATACAGGTAATGCCTCCAAATCTTGAGGGCAAATACAACTGCCCCCAGCTCCAAGTCGTGGGTAGGATAATTAGCCTCGTGAGGCTTCAACTGTCTCGAGGCATAAGCCACCACATGGCCTCGCTGCATCAACACTGCTCCCATACCTGAGATCGAAGCATCACAATAGACCACGAAATCCTCAACACCCTCTGGCAAGGTAAGGATCGGAGCCTCGCACAATCTCTGCCTGAGAGTCTCGAACGCCGCCTGCTGCTCAGGCCCCCAACGAAAAACTACCGACTTCTTGGTTAGTCGGGTGAGCGGCACTGCTATCTTGGAGAAATCCTGAATAAACCTCCGATAATACCCTGCCAATCCTAGGAAGCTCCGAATCTCAGATGGAGACCTCGGGACCTCCCACTGCATCACGGCCTCAATCTTGGCCGGGTCAACCAAAATACCCTTCTGATTAACGAGATGCCCAAGAAACTGCACCTCGCGTAACCAGAACTCGCACTTGGAGAACTTAGCGAACAGTCTCTCCCTCCTCAAAGTCTCCAACACCTCCCGCAGGTGCTCCTCGTGCTGTCCCTGCGTCTTGGAATACACCAAGATGTCATCGATGAACACTATCACTGACCGATCCAGCATCGGTCTACACACGCGGTTCATGAGATCCATGAACGCGGCTGGGGCATTGGTGAGCCCAAATGGCATCACCACAAACTCATAATGACCATACCGGGTCCTGAAAGCAGTCTTCTGTACATCCTCATCCCTGACCCTCATCTGGTGGTAACCGGAGCGTAGGTCGATCTTGGAGAACCAAGACGCTCCCTGGAGCTGATCAAACAAGTCATCTATCCTCGGAAGTGGGTAACGGTTCTTCACCGTTACCTTGTTCAACTCCCGGTAATCAATACACATCCGATGCGACCCGTCTTTCTTCCTCACAAATAAGATCGGCGCTCCCCAAGGCGAACTGCTCGGTCGAATGAAACCCTTGTCTAACAGCTCCTGAAGCTGTGTAGACAACTCCTGCATCTCAGGGGGAGCAAGTCGATATGGTGCTTTGGCTATCGGAGCCGCACCAGGAACCAGGTCGATCCTGAACTCAACCTGCCTCTCAGGAGGTATCCCCGGCAAATCCTCGGGAAACACATCCGGGTAATCTCGAACAATAGGAACATCATCGATCGTCGTCTTGCCCTTATCCCGGGCATCCAAGACGTAGGCTACATAACCGGCGCAACCCTGCTGAACGTAGCGCCTCGCCCTAGCGGCAGAGCAGAAGGTCAATCCTCGCTGGGGCCTCTCGCCCTGAACCACTATCTCTCCCCCACTGGGAGTGCGAACCCTCACTAGCTGAAGCTCACAATCAATCACCGCCCCATTGGGGCTTAGCCAATCCATTCCCACAATAACTTTATTCCCGCGCAGGGGAATCGGAACCAAATCCACTGAAAACTGCTCCTCAAATATCTGAAGGGAACACCCTCTATATACTTTGTCGACCCTCACGGTCCTATCATCTGCTATCTCAACCTCTAACGGACAATCCAGTTCCCCCGGAGCTCTGCTAAATCTCTTGCTAAGCGCAAGCGATACAAATGATCGGGTGGCCCCCGAGTCAAACAATACCAAAGCAGGGATGCCGTTCACCGAGAACGACCCTAAATAAAGCGTACCATCAAATAATATTCAAACGATATATTAATAATTAAAGATGAAAGAATATACATACCCGTCACCACATCAGGAGTCGCTCGCGCCTCCTCTGCTGTCATCTGAAATGCCCTGCTCTTCGCCACCGGCGCATCAGCTCGGCCCTGACGGCCATCTGTGATCCTCAAAGTAGCAGGGGCGGGTGCATGCACCTTCCCTGCTGCAGCTAAACTGGGACACTGGGACCTTTTGTGTCCCCTCTGATTGCACTGAAAGCAAATCAGATCCGATGCTGTAACCGTAGTGGCAGGGGCCGTACAATCCCTACTCATATGCCCGGTCCGACCGCACTTGTAGCAGCCGGAACTCCCTGCCTTGCACGCCCCCTCGTGCAACCTCCCACACTTGCCACATCGACCGTGGCTCTGCTGACCCCTGGACCTGTGATCTGAAACCTTGGGCTTTTTGCCCACACTGCCTGCACCCGAAACCGCCTCCGGTTTCCTCTTCCTCTCCATCTCGAGATCAATCTCCCTCTCTCTGGCTCTAGCAATCATGTCGTCCAGTGTTTTGCAACTGGACCGGCTCACAAACATACGAATGTCGCTCCGCAACATCTCGTGATAACGGGCCTTCTTCATCTCCTCGTCTGCTGCATACTGAGGAACAAGAAGGGCCCGCTCCCTGAACTTGGCGGTGATCTCCGCCACTGTCTCGGTAGTCTGGGTAAGATCCTGGAACTCCCTGGCTAACTGTTGCACCTCAATGACCGGTGCGAACTCCGCTCTGAACCTGGTAGAGAAATCAGCCCAGGTCATGGCATCCAATGCCGCATCATCCCCGATGGTATGTCCCACCTCCTCCCACCAGTCACGTGCCCTGTCCTTCAGGAGACAGGACGCCAATCTGACCTTGTCCCCCTCGGGACATCTGCTAGTGCGGAATGCGTTGGCCACATCCGCCAACCACCTGGTACTCGCTATGGGGTCCCGTGCCCCGTGATAGTCAGGAGCCCCGCATGCCCTGAACTCCCTGAAAGTGAGTGTGCGCGACCCCATCACGGCCGCCATCTCAGTACGGAAGGTACTCAGTCTCTCATCCATCATCTCCAAAATGCCCTCCTTGATCGAACCGAAGATCACAGGAGTCTGCTCAAGTATGATGCGAGTAATCTCAGAAGAAAGGAACTCTCTGGTCTGCTCATCCATCTGTCCGACCTCCGGGTCGGATCCCGATCCTGATCCTCCTCCGGCATCTGAACTGCCGGCTGCTGGCCTCGGACGCAAAACTACCATTCTGAAACATATCATAACAACATCAGAACATTGAAATATTTCAAGGGATCATGATACGACTACTAGCTTCCTGGTCTAATCTTGGCCTTCCTTGATTCGAGTACGGATCCTCTGCTTCCAGTAGTATGGGCCCCTACTACCTTCCACATCTATCCATACTTTCCTCAAGAACTGCCTCGACTTCCCCAAGTCACTTCTACCGCTGCTATTCTCTGCTACTCTCACCCTAGGCTTGCCCTAGAGAAAACTCGAGCTCAATACGACTGGTCCTCAGCTGCTGTAGGTCTCCTTGCACTGCCAGTTAGCCATCACCTGAACACCATCACATGTGATGAGGATCGGATAATCCTTCAAGTAAAAGATCCGTCCCTACAACGGTTGGACTCAAACAAGAGCTGCGCAGTAGGGCCAGTTCCAGCACTCTGGGATTATTCAAACCTGATTACATGTGGTGTGACGTGTCCACCTAATGGCTAACTCCCATTACTCGGAATCCCACTAAGCACAAAGCAAGCAGCATTCGGACAAGGGAAACAGACTCACGCAAGCTATTCTTATAACAAGAAACTGCACTAGCATAGGATGCTAAGCTCATACTATCAGGCATAACCTAAACAGGCTATCCTACTGCTGTCTACTCAATTCTAGCATGCAATATTCATAGAGCTGTAACACATAAGCAGGCACATAAGGCGTTCTCTCTACACCCTTCGTCCTATTCTAGCATGCTGTTCTACTAAACTGAAATTGAACAAATAACTTGTATGGGTAATTTGGGAGTACTTACTTGAGCTCGGTTGACCGCATGCACACACCTCTTCTTAAAACAATTCTTTTCCTTCTAAGTGTTTTCAAAATTCTTTTGTAAAAACATTTTATTAAAAATCTTTTATTTCCCTTTAGTTTGAGTTCAGATACACCCGAGAGTGTATCCGAATCCCTCAAACCAGGGCTCTGATACCAACTTGAAACAACCCAAAAATACGACCCAAAAATTTCGTTTTTAATACCATCAAAACTATAATCAGAGTATCATATAAATAAACCATGCGTGATATGCCCAAAATATAATAAAGTACTGTGCGGAAACTGTAACATACTATATCCAAAAACAACAACTAAATCAAATCCAGACTAAAGCTGAAACGGTGGTGTGTGCGATGCCGTCATCCAGAGCTCTTCCCTTTGCTTGCGGAAGTACCTGAAACCAAAACTGAAACTGTAAGCACGAAGCTTAGTGAGCTCCCCCAACTTACCACATACCATACAACAACATATAAACACATATTGGGCCTTGCCCACTGCATCGGGCCGGGGCCCGGAAACTGCATCGGACCGAAGTCCGGAACTGACTGGGACCTTGTCCCCTGCATCGGACCGAAGTCCGGAACTAACTGCATCGGACCGAAGTCCGGAACTGACTGCATCGGACCGAAGTCCGGAACTGACTGCATCGGACCGAAGTCCGGAACTGACTGGGACCGTGTCCCCTGCATCGGACCGAGGTCCGGGACTGACTGCACATAGCATAGCATATCATAACAATTTATACTGCATACTGCATCGGGCCGTGGCCCGGAACATAAACACATACACATAGCACATAAAACATGTCTGAACCACGAAGGCATCAAACATACTAACTACTACATCGGACCGAAGTCCGGACTACTGCTAACTGGACGGGCCGGCATTGTGGCCTTAGACCCGCCCTACGGAAGGAAACTCACCTCGTAAGCTAGCGGATGAGTGTGCGGCTCGGAAAGCTAACGGCTGCTGCTCCTGAATCTCCTCGGCTACAAATCCATAAACACACTCAATCAATCACTAGCACTACACTCAGGGTAAAATGACTCTTTTACCCTTGGTCAAAGTTGACTTACTCAGGGCTGACTCGCCGAGTCGGGATACCAACTCGCCGAGTCCTAGACTCTCCGCTCAACTCTTACATGCTGTTACTCGTCGAGTGTGGCATCGACTCGACGAGTACCCTCTGGATCCAAGAACTCAGATGATCTTCATCCGACTCGCCGAGTCAGATGAACAGACTCGACGAGTTGTTCTTATCCTCAAGGAAGATTGCCTTGGACTCGCCGAGTTGTATGAACAAACTCGCCGAGTCCCTCCATCACTGAGTCTACTCTTAACTCGCTGAGTCCACTCCCTAACTCACCTCGTCCACTCGACACTGAAGAAACTGAAGAACTCGGGACTCGCGACCTGACTCGTCGAGTCGTTCTTCCGACTCGCCGAGTCGCCGCCATGCAACATATTTTTACTCGATTTCTCTTGAATCCAACACATGCAAATGATAGATCTAGGTCCATTAAGCTGTTTTACCACGTAAAGTTTCCAACTTTACGTGCACAACCACATGAATGAGGGAAATAAGACTAAAATATGCACAATAAGGGTAGATCCATGGCTAATAAGCAATGTAACTCCAAAAAGACAGTGGATCTGGACTCTACAACACCCAACACTCAGATCCAAAGGTATTTTGGCTTAATAACACATTCAAGCAAGCATAAAGCTTGGAACAAGCATCAAATAGCCCTTAAAAGAGCTCTAATGGAAGTTTAAGCATGAAACCAGAAGAGAACTCCGAAAATACCTCAATAAGTTCACACTTGATCTTGGATCTTGGCACTAGAACTCGTTTCCTTGCTTCCTTCTTCTTCTCCTTCTTCACCCCTTCACAAAATGGAACAAGATCACTTATAAGCTCACAAGAGGGAGGTTTAGGGTTTCTCACAGTGCTCTCAGGGGGAAAGTGACGAGATGGAGGCTATAATGGGGGTTTAAATAGTGAGCAAACCCGGGGAGTTAGGGTTTCACCCAGACGGACGGACTCGCCGAGTCCAGGGCATGGACTCGCCGAGTCGCCGGCTCCCGCGTGCACAAGATGCGCGACCCGACTCGGCGAGTCAGGCTAGAACTCGCCGAGTCCCTCTTGAAAACTTAGCCCAATTCAAATTAATTAACATACCGGAAACGGGTCGTTACACATTTACTGAAAACATCCTAAGTACATCTTCCTTCATCTCAGTTAATGTCATCTTTGGCTTCATAATAATATCCTTCAGGTAATGTTTGGCCAACCAGTTACAAGTAACCAAAGTTCCAAAATTAAAATTTCTAGCACATAGATGTATGTCACATATAGATTTAATCTGAAATGTTCATTCATTATACTTCCAAGCAGCATAAACTCTAAAGGGACATGGGTCTTTTTTTATATATTTTCCCACACCTAGCAATCACTCTATGCCTATCACTCTTCATAAACCACAACTGATATCCATTAGCTACCGCATAGTTAGTTAATGCAAACCTGAGTTGAGCAGGGGACTCGTAACACTCTCCCACTACCGGCTTCATTTGTTTCCAATGTATGTCTGGATCATGAACCCTGTACTCTACACCTACTTCACCGTCATTTTGATCATCAATATGATCATGTTCTGGATCCTTAACACCAACTTCCTGATCATCATCTCCCATTCCATCAAGAGTCCTCCTTAGCACATTTTCATCACATAACATGTTAAGAAATGGGTCATCAGATAGGTTTGAGGTCGGTTTAAAGGTCTCTGGTGCAAAATCCAGGAAAGAGAAATCTATGAGATCATCATCAGAGTCCTCGTCCCTTACATAAACCTTTTCAGGCCCTTTCACCTTTTTAGTTCCAGATGCTGAAGCCATCTGTTCAAAATGAAAAATTATACTTGTAAGTGACACTATGGAACTCGATTATGTAAGATAAGAACACACATACACATCAATTTCTTATTGGCACCCCACGTACCTTTCTACTTCAGTGATTATCAACTTCAAAATAGAAGCTTGTTTGCATGCAACAATGGTGTAAGAAACCCTTTTCAAACCCTTCTTCTTCCTAAGACCAACTACAAGAAACCCTTTTTTGATGCAAGACGTTTCTGTGAAAGGTGATATTAGGTGGTATACGAACTATCGAGTAGTATAGGAGAGTGGTGACCGGCTGCGTACCTTGACCGGCTGTTAACCGGATGATAAAACGATTTTGAAACGGGGTCACAATTATTTAGGCTAATTAGACACAAAAAATCCATTTAGGGCTAATTTAGAATAACAATGTAAAACTTATGGCTTTTTTGGTATTAACCCTTTATTTTACAACTAAAGTAGGTTTAAAACTAAGTGAGTTTTCACACATCAAGTTTTTGGCGCCGTTGCCGGGGAACAGTTCTAAAATTAACACTAAATTCTAATTCAATCGATCCTTTGTGTGGGATTTATCTTACACAAAGTTAATTACACGGTAATTTAGTAGGTAGTATCATTTTTTTAAAATAACTAAAATTTTTTCTGATTTTACCTTGGACTCGCCGAGTGCACTCGTGCAGACTCGGCGAGTACGTCTCTGTTTGCAGTTTTAATTTTTTTTTTTGTTCTTTTTATGTGTTTTTTTTGTTTTGGTTACAGTTGTTTCATGACCCGAGGATCTGATACACCTCTGGTCCCTCCTCTTGAAAATCTGGAATCCGCACTAAGAAGGAGCAAAGGTAAAACCGTTGGAGAATCCGCTTCTTCAAAGAATTCACCACTCAAAAACCTCAAGTCTGTTTTCAGCAAGAAGAGGAGCAACAAATCAGGAGCATCAAGTGCCTCTTTGACAATCGAAGATCCAATTCAAGAAGACACCGAGTACGAGACCGAGGAAGAGGAAGAACCCACATACGAGCACAAATCCGAGTTTGAAGACGATTTAGCTACCGCTATGGCTAATATCGATGAAGTCCCCATGGGGGAATGGAAGAAGAGGATGCGTGATGACACCGGCCCGGGACTTGTGCAGCCCGTAATTCCCGCAACCTCTACTTTCGAGCTAAAGGGCCATATTCTCGCTCAACTCAAGGAGATCCCTTTTTATGGGAAAGACCACGAAGACGCCTACAAGCATTTGGATGAAGTAAATGATGTGGCTGACTACTTCAATGTACCAAATGTGCCTCGTGAGACCCAGCTACTTTGCATGCTCCAAGTCACATTCAAAGGTGCTGCAAAGGGTTGGCTCAAGTCACTTCCTCCCGGATCGGTCACCACATGTGCCAAGATGAAAGAGGAATTCATAAACCACTTTTGCCCGCCTTCCAAGATAGCTAAGTTGAAGAAAGCCATCGCCAACTTCGAGTAACAACCCGGTGAATCTCTTTATGAAGCTTGGGAAAGGTAAAAAGGTTTGCTTAGAAATTTCCCACACCATGACCTTAATAGCCGATAAGAGTTCTCCATTTTCTATGATGGAGTCAATGTCACCACAAGGCAATTGCTCGATTCACAAGGCTCGCTCACCAGAAAGCCGCCTCTGGTAATCAAGGTGTTAATTGAGGAATTCTCTAAGCATTCTAGAGAATACCACAATCCGAGAAATGAAGTAAGTCGGGGAGCAGTGAACTCGGTGAATGATAGCATGGCGGCAGTAATAGCTAGGCTCGATAGTCTAGATAGAAGGATGACAAAAATGGATCAAACAATCCATGCTATTCGAGTTGGATGCGAGAATTGTAGAGGGCCCCACCTCACCAAGGATTGTGATTTGGACGAAAATGGAAATAAGAAGGCTCAAGTGTTCGAGTTGGATGTGAGAATTGTAGAGGGCCCCACCTCACCAAGGATTGTGATTTAGATGAAAATGGAAATAAGAAGGCTCAAGTGTTTTACTCAAGTGGCGATAGATACGACGAGAATTGGCGGAAACCGAATAAGGAATGGCTCCCATACAAAGAATATAAAAAGGCTAAGGAGGAGAAATACAAGCAGAATGAGAGGGGATTCTATCAAAAGGAAGAACCGGTAATGGAAAAGAAATCCAATTTAGAAGAAATGCTCACTAGATTCATAGCCGCGTCCGAAAAAAGACACAATGATCACGATGTAGCAATGCACGAGACCAGAAATATGTTAAGGAATCAGCAGGAATCCATTCTCAACATTGAGAAACAGCTGGGATAGCTTGCACATCAAGTCAATGAAAGAAGACCGAGTCAACTTCCAAGTAACACCGAGAATAATCCAAGAATGGAAAATATGAGTATGGTGACTTCAAGTTGTGAAAAAAAATTTCACACAGGCACAGAGGGTCTCCAATAGCAAGACAAAGAAGACAGAAAAGTCAGCTCCAGCTAAACCCGACCCGACTCACCGAGTTCCTCAAATGGACTCGACGAGTTCATGCGTACATGACAAAACTATCATCCCCTTAAAGCCATATAATCCCCCTCTGCCATTCCCAATCAAAGCCATGCCTGTGGAAAAAGTTGAAGCTTATAAAGCCTTTATGAAGCATGTTAAAGCCCTCCAACTTAATGTGCCATTTGTAGAAACGATGCTCATAACACCCAAGTACTTCAACTTACTAAAAGGTCTCTTTGCTGCTAGGAAAGACTTGGCTGAAGTCGCGGAGATAATGTTGAGTGAGTCACCCGAAAAGAAGGGCGATATGGGAAGTATCATAATTTCGTGCCAATTTGGAAATGCATTTGTCACTCAAGCGTTGACCGATTCAGGTGCAAGCATCAACCTGATGCCTCTCTCTTTCTTCAAGAAGCTGAACTTACCGGAGCCAAGACCGGTAAACATGAAGATCCATTTGGCTGACAAGACGACAATTCATCCAAGAGGAGTTTGTGAGGATCTTCTCATTAAAGTTGACAAGTTCATCTTTCCAGTAGACTTTGTGGTGCTACATATGGAAGAAGACCCCGAAGCTCCAATTATTTTGGGGAGGCCATTTTTAAACACCGCATGTGCTTTAATTGATGTATGTGAGTCTACACTAACATTAAGGGTAGGAGATGAGTCAGCGGTATTTAAAGCTATACCAGAAGCCAAGAAAGAAGAGAAATGGAAAGAAGAAATCTCATTTATCAGTTTAGATGATGAGATACTACAAAAAGAACTTGAACTTTTTCAAGAAAGAGATCCAAACAAGTTTTTGCTACCTTCTGGAGAGGATGGAGATGTTAACAAGGACTTGGAAGAGATAGAAAAGCTACTGGAAGGAGCCGACTTGGAAAACACAGAAGACATGGTGAAATACGATCCGACTCACCGAGTCACCTTACTGGACTCGACGAATCCAGTCGAAATTACCAACAGCTTGGATGACTTAGATCTGCTTGTTTCTAATTCTCTGCATATTCTGGGCATGGATATTTTTCATGATTCTTTAGAAGAACAAACAGCAAAAGGAGAAATGGATATGAAAGTCCAACATGTCCATATAGCATGTCTTGATGCAATTCCGCTTGTAGATGGGTTAAACACAGAAAAAGAAGAGAAGGAAATGGATAGGAGAGTGTAGGCTGATCAACCATCCATTACCAAACCTAGAGCACAAACTTTCACAGAATATGAAGTACTTAAGTTTGATGAAAAGGAGGTGAAAGAGAAGGAGAAAAAGAATGGGGTGAAGAAGAAAAAGAGGAGAAAAGAAGCCCAAGCAGCTGAGGATGATGCTGTAAAAAAGAAGAGAGAGGAATTAAAACGGGCTTATAAAAAGAAGGTTCACGCTTACAAGACAAAGTACAAACCACAAAAGATTAGGTGTGTATTTCTGATGCTGGAAGATGACGAGACATAGACGGGAAGGAGTCCAGCTAACGACTCCTTAAAAAAGAAGCGTTTGGTGGGAGGCAACCCATTATTTAGAGTTTGCTTTCTTTTACCTTTTTAGTTTTGTTTGCATTTTTTCGTTTTTAGAATTGTAATCTTCCAATTCATCGGACATGTCTACTTGAGAGTGCGTATGGACTAAGTGTGGGGTGACAAACATTTTCTTTCCTAAATAAATGGCAAAATTTTATACTTATCGGGAAGAGACTCACCGAGTCTGACCATGACTCAACGAGTCCCTGTAGATTTCAGAAGAAGGATAAATTCGTGACGAGACTCGCCGAGTCCGAGACTGACTCGACGAGTCGGTCTTATTTACAGAAAAAAACAATTTTTACAACCGGTAATTAGGGTTTTAACCTTAAGGAAATCAGTTTTCACAACTCACTCATCGTGCACCTCCTTTCTAACTCTTTCTCTCAAGCATTCATCATCTTCTTCAATTGTTCTTCAAGTTTTCAATTTCTATCACAAAAGGTAACTAATTTCTTCCTATTTTCTATTAAAAGCATGGTGTTTTAGATGATCTAGGGTAGTAATTTCATATCAAGCCCGATTTTGAAGAATAGTAAATTTCTAGGGTTTTGATTTTTCAAAAAAAAATATGTTGTTTTGGATGATTATTCTTGCCCTAATACCTTATAGAAACATCCCTGGACAAAACCCGTGAGTTAATTTAAAGATTTAGAGGTTGAACTTTGACAGACTCGTTGAATGACTCGCACATTCATTGCGACTCGCCGAGTCGTTCATAGACTCGACGAGTCGAGTCAGGGACACAGATGTTACGTATTTTAATGATTTTCTGTGTTTTCCTAGGTTTTGTATCTTCGGTTTGCAGGAAAACGTTTCGCAGGGGACAAAGTTCCAGTGGACAACAAGAAGATTTTCCTTGGTTAAATTTCCCGCAAATCGAATCTGCTTCTACCATGATGAGATGGAAGAAGAAATTAGCTGACATCAGGAAGAAAGAAATTTATGTGCCCAACAGAATTTATTGGGGTTGGTTGCAAAGTGTGCGATATGAAGAGGAGTTGCCTCCTTAT